CAGTAGTGGGACGGAAGATGGATTGCCTCCGCTGAGATATGGTACTGTGAGCGACAAATTACCGGAGGGCTGGGAAATGGTTCCTTATGATAGATTGGGCAATTTCTATTGTGGAAATGTGAGTTCATCCCTTGGCTTGAGCGATTTTCGAGAATCCTACGTTTAGTTTGAAAATTGAAAAATTTGAACATCATGAGGATTTTCGGGTTTTTAATACTTTGATCTGCATGTCAGAATCACACAAAGCTAACACATGAATTCAGATGGCATACATGGCCTCAGACGCCAATTTCTTTTCCGCCGCTCTACCAAGTGACGGTTACATGGACCTCATTTGCATCAACGGCGATATAAGTCGTCTTTCATCTATCAAGATGATGTTATCAGTGGAAAACGGAAAATTATTTGATATTCCTGACGTGTGGTATCGTAAAATCCTCGGTTATAGAATTATTCCGAAACAGAAAGGCGATGGGTATATAAGTATTGATGGGGAGAGGGTTCCCTTTCAACCATTCCAAGTCGAGGTACATAAGGGATTGGGTACGGTACTCTCGAAAACGGGACATATGTATGAGACTCAGGGTTTTGTTTGAGTCTTCCTTGGCTCGGGGTTGGAACTTCTTTTTCATATTTTCACGGGGGTTTTATGTATGCATTGGATGGGAAAGGGGCTCTCGGTAAGATACGATCTGGGCAAGGCGTTTAAATTTTCTTTTCAGACATTGTGGCACTTATAGTCGACCTCAAATGATACCCAAAGATGGTTGGTTTGGTTCGCATCAGCGACTTGATATATATTTTGTCAAACTTAGAAATTCTTTCTACAAGCTTTTTCTCAGCCCTTTGTAGCTAAAAATAACAACAGCCTCACTTCACTAGCTAGCATTCTTCATAGTTATTTTTAATGCTACTCAAAACCTATACCTATGTTTATACTATACAGCTTTTAGAATTCTAGGATCTATGAAATCATTATTCCTAGAGTATTAAAATATAAATCTTGAAGCTATTTAGAGATCTTAATCTTTTTATTCTTTTTCATCATTCAAATCATTCAAATCATTCAAGCTTTTGATTATTTGAATTGTATTAGAACAACTAGATTATTGAAAGGTTTCACTAGTAGCCAATTCCGATTCTTTTTTTTCTTATAAATACCTAGGCTAATCAGCTCCCAGTTATAAAACGTATTTAAATCATATATATTAGGATTCTACTATAGTTCTGAATTTGAAGGGAATTTTGCATTGGATATTGAATGACCTCAAAATAACACCTAGACGCCATGGATTTCTTCCATAGATCCTCTTTCAACCCCCAAAGAAATGTTTTTCGGCGTGAATTCAGCTCCTTAGTATTTTCGACATCCGATATTCGCCCTTCAACTTAATCCTCAATCCCATCCCATCCATCTTCCTCCCCCTCGCTCGCATCGCTCATTTCCACATCTCCCTCTGCGCCCTCCTTCCTCTCATTCCCCGGTAAGCGCTCATCCCCCAGTGCCTCCTTGCACTTATTCCTAACCGTCTTGTTAATACTCTCCTTTCCCAATTCCCTCAATGGCTCCAACAATTTCTCTAATCTCTCCGCGCTCTCTTCACTCTCCTTCGCTGCGTCAATCACACCCAATTTCTCAAGCTCATCAATCCAGATATCGATTACATGGAAGCGCATTCCATTCGGTGTGCGTTGCGCATCGGGACCCGAACCACAGGGAATAGAAGACAAGACTTCTAATATCTGTTCTCCGGCATCCGAGACAACATTCTTCGCACCTTTCGTCTTACTTTTCTTTCCCGCAGAAGCAGATCCAGAAGAGCCGGAAACCACAACCTCAAATCCAGCCGCCAAATAGCGTCTCACGAGCAGCAAAAATTTCTCCATGCGCAGCACATCAATGCGTTCCCATTCTTTAGACATAATTTCCCAAAATCCAGTGTAGAAAGGTGCTTGGGTGGAGGGGGAGAGAGAGGAAAGCAGAGAGGCGAGAGAATTGGCGAGGGATTGCTGGGGGAGGGGTCGGTCGCACATCCACATGCTGTAGAAGAGACCGGAGTGGATTTTCAGATAATCGAGGGGTGTGAGAGATCGCGAGGCAGAGAGATAGGTGCGCAGGGAGAGGAGGGCAGCGTCGCGGGTTTTTTTGTCTGGAAGGGGGTTAGGATGAGTTGGAAGTATGTAGTAGGGAAGGAGGGAGAAGATAGAACATACCATTTGCAGCTAATTCCTTAATTAACTTCGTATCCCTGATATCCGTCGACATTTTTGCGGTGGAATTGAAGTTGAAGTTGGAGTTGTGGGAATGAGAATGGGAGAAATAGATGTATGTGAAATTCCCCGCGTAAAGATATCTCAAGATGGTTTGATAGCAGAGTCGAAAATAAAAATATATTCTGCCGTGAGTGAAGATGCTGACCGCTTTTTGCGAGGGTGATTGATTGGATATGTAGTCTTCTTGGTGGTGTATCTTTAGGGAAGTAGCTACCCGCACACCTCGCTGGGAGCAAACGGTACTGAGTGAATTATTAGGTTGGACTGGCAAACAATAATGATTTTGTGATTTGGAAAAAGTTTCGTGGAATAGTTATAATTTTTATAGATAGCTGGAATCTTCTCTTACATATATCCACTTTACTTTCGTCTCCAAAACTCCAAATAGATACAATTTCAAGATATAGCATCGAAGGTGTGCTTCTATTAACAATCTCATCAATATCTATTCTCCACTAGACAGATTGACAAACGAAGCGAACCAGTCATGATGAAGAAATGGGATAAGTTGAATAAATTGAAAGAAGCAGCGCGTTTGTTAAATACTTATTCGAATACTATGGCGCCGACGTATAGAGATCATTATTTTGGTCATGAGGTGGTGAGTCCTTATTTTTTTTTGCTCTATGTTTGCTTATTTGTTCTGTGATTTTGTTTGGTTTACAGAAGTCTGAGTGGGCTTTGAATCGAGGGTGAATAGATCAGTCTTTGAACCAGCGAGTTGGTACGCTGGAGGGAGTGGGAAATGGAGCTTTGGAATCGTAGCAACGAGGGCGGGTGAAAGAGAATTGTTATTGTACTTGTACATGTTTCTTTTTGTGGGCATGGATTCGTTATGTGAGGGCGGGGAGACATGAGTAGATGGGTGATATTGTGTTATAGGAGGCTGAATAATCTTAAATCAAGTATTCTGCTTTCACTACTCAAAGTAGAGTACGGAGCAAGAGAATAGATCAACGAGAATTCGCAGAATTGATCCAAGGCTGAGAAGGTACTCGGATGATTTTCGAGAATCTTAGAGATTAACCCGAAGATCCAACAGATTCAAGGGGTTTCAATTGTCTGGACTCACTTTAGTACCTTATAATAACTTTATTATTTGAATATTTTATTTTTCATTTGGTCTCTAAACTCATACAATCAAGCAAAAACTAATTCCTCTTCTCCAGCCATCCCTCAAAGATTGTCATTGGTGTCAAATTCGCAGCTTCTCTAATGCAAAAGAATACCCAATCTCAATCGTCTGCAAAGACGAAAGCCTAACTCTTCCTGACGATTTCACGTTTATCGAAAAATCTATTCTCAGAGAAGGAGTTTCCCGAGCCGACCCTGAGTTTCGAGTTGGATGTGAATGCAGTCACAACTGTCATGGAATGACTTGCCATTGTCTCCAAGATTCAGAGGTTGATCTACCAGACCACAATGTATATGCATATCAAGCAGGGGGCAATAGCGAAGGATGTTTGAAAGAGCAGCTTTTGGATAGCAAAGCACCCATCTACGAGTGTCATGAAGCCTGCGCTTGTGATGAAACTTGTGATAATCGAATCGTTGCAAGAGGACGACGCGTACCATTACAAGTTTTTCGCACTGAAAATCGTGGTTGGGGTATGTGATTTATATAATTTTAAATATTAAAATCAAAAATTTAACGAACCACAGGTGTCCGAAGCAAAGTGCCCATCAAAGCCGGTGCATTCATAGACTGCTATATTGGCGAGATCATCACCGCTCAAGAAGCCGACAGACGACGCGACAATGCAATTATCAGCAGAAGAAAAGATCTCTACCTATTCAACATCGATAAGTTTACCGATCCAGATAGTCTCGATGAGACTTTACGCGGTGATCCATATGTTATCGATGGAGAATTTTACGCCGGACCTAGTCGTTTCTTCAATCATTCTTGTGAAGCTAATATGAGGATCTTTGCGCGTGTTGGAGATTATTCTGAGAAGAACCTTCACGATTTGGCTTTCTTCGCGATTGAGGATATTCGACCAATGACGGAGCTGACTTTCGATTATGTGGATGGGAAGGATGATGGAGAGCAAGGAAGTGAGAAATGCTTGTGTGGAGCTAAATCGTGTAGAGGATGGCTTTGGTAATCATGTGAAGAGAGGATTGATGAATTTGAATGGTACCAGGCGCACGAAGGACAGTCTGCAGAAACGAATGATACCCCAGATCTGATTAAGCATAGATGGATGGAATCTGATTGACATTATTAGAAGTATCTTGGGTTAATAGTGCGTTGAGTAGTTTATAGCTAAATGAGTTTTTACTCTTCCTATATCTTTGATAACTTGAGATATTTGAGTAATAGAATATCCTGACTTGCTATTCTAGATAGTGTAGGTGAATGAACGCAGGAAAGAATAGTGATTGTGGGATGATAAAAGAATGGAAATTTTCAAAAATGAGGCATAAGAATAATTCCCCGACACTCGCCCTTTGCCAATTGAGCTTTAAATGCGAAAGTCGGAAATCAAGGATTTTGAGTAATTTCGGAAAGCATTTATTATATTTCGACCTGTTTCAATCCTTTACACTTGTCCAGTTTCCAGAATCTTGTCGATGTTAAAAGTCTCATTAACATATGAGCCGTATCTATGGAATGTAATTATATAGTATGTAATTATATTCCCACACCTGCTGATGTCCAATTCCCCCCAATAATTAGATAGAAGTAAGAATAGTAATGTCCATCATAAAGCATCATCATCTTAGTCTGGGAATGGCATTTGGTTATGTACCATTACATCCCCATTATTTGTAAATGGGGTGTAATCTTGAAAGCCAAGAGCCTCAACAGCTGGACTAAAAGGCAAAGTTCGGAAAATTCTATCCTCGGGATCCGCATTCGAGCTCGTGCTAGTACCCAGATCTTCGTTCTCCGCTCCAATTTCTTTCTCATCATTCTCCATATCTTCCTCCATATCCTCCTGGTCCTCCTCATTTTCTACATCCCCGTCATCAGCATTGCTATCGTACTCTAAATCGTCTTCGTACAAGTCTTCCTCTGCGTTATCGCTATTATAAGAATCCTTGTCTTTTTCCATCGGAAGCCAGATGTCATCATCTTCATTCGAGACCAGAAATTCGAGATAGTCGGACAATGAATCTTTGTTGAGTGGAGTGAGAGATTTGTGACCAACAACCGTCGGCGTTTGATTCTTGATACACGTAAATGAGGAAGGATGTCCGCTTGGTTTTGCTATAACATAGCGTATGTTAGGTGGATAATTGAACCAAGTATCTTCATTGATATTTTCTTGATGGTCTAACACAATTTGATTAGTTCTGTATGTTTTGGAGTTATTTTGAGCGGAAGGAGTCTATCACCATCTTCGAATTTGGAGAGCTGTTTTCTAAAGTCTTCTAAATTTTTCTTTCTTCGTTCTGCTTCTTTGAATAAAACGGAGTTAGGCTTCTCATAGCCTTGGGAGGTAAATGTTCGAGAGGAGAGAGGCTCATCACGACCATCTACTGGCTCGACGAAAGTCACCCCATGGTCCAGGGTAAAGGCAACATCATTTAGAACGACGTATATTTCCTCACACATCTGGTATGGTAGAAAGGATAACGTTCCCACTACCCAGCCCATTGCTTGGCTATCCCATTGCGGCCGTGGATCGTGCCATAGCTGATGATTTATAGCAAAGATCTTTACCATACGATATGGAGGACGTCCTTCATACAATGCCAAGGAGCTAGGAAGTTTACACTTAGAACTGTCAACGAGCCACATGATATCGGCGTCTGGGTTCATGTAGTGTTTTGGAAGCTGTGCATGGCAATTCTCGTCACCCCACGAATCGTAATTACAAAATGTGAAATGAGAAAATTGTAGCTGAATGCCTTCATCATATGCCTCCTTGCATGTTTGCATGATTTCCGTAATCCTGCTGCGAGTTGCCACGTGGCTAGATATAATGTGAATATGAGGGCCTATTAGGGCATGCTTCCAGATTTGACGTCGAATCTCCAATGGAAATGTCGAAAATAACGGAAAGGAAACGTTCTCATGTGTTGTATTGATACCTAATGTTATCAAAGGATTAGAGAAATTCAAAATACCCCGAAAGCTTCAAAGTACAATGGATATTCAGAAGCTATCAGGAACTTTGTGTATCTGGTATGATCAGAGTATTGGACATCACATTCGAAGATTACCAAACCCTGTAGATATATTAGACATTCAAAGGGTTTCAGCCTCTGAAAGTGAAATAGACTTTTACATACCAGTAAACCTAGCCATTACGTTGCCTTGTTCAATCACAGCATCCATATTGCTGATATTGATGGCTTGAGACAGATTCCAAGGGGGATGATGTTGTCGAAAATATGGCTGTTTTCAAAAGTGGTGGTGCTTCAGTCCGCATCAGCTTGAGAATCCTAGCTATAGACGAACTCTCTGCTTAGGAAGATCCAATATATATCGTATGTTGGAGAATATCAGAGTCTTGTTGAATTATTCCATTAAGAAAATCCGATTTGATCAAACAGATATTTGTGATATCAAAATTGATGAGTGAATAGTGTTATGGTATGTGTAGTAACACGTGGGTAGAGGACAGTAAAACGTGATCCAGAAGACAACGTAAGCTTACCTAATAGCTTGAAGAGTTATCTGACATTCAAATTGAATAAGTATTATTATATCTCTTATAGTGTTGGTATAACCATGGGGATGGTGAAGTCAATATAGTACTATGATTCACACTGTTGTAATATTGCTTGAGGTTCTAAAAGCTAATAAGGCTACGAAACGTATTTGCAGTAGTATCGAAAGGCGCTAGCGCTAACGCTAGTACAGTCACATGATTCCTATCCCGATACTTAGACTTGAACTATAGAGAAGAACTTGAAGTTTTTAAGAACAATATATCGTATTAATAATTGAATTAGAGTGAAATATCTGATTATTAGTAGTCATATTGAATTAGTAGATCATGTTCTAGAGTATTGAAAGATTTTTTTTTAGGATTATAAGAGAATATTAATAAAAATAGAAATTTATTAGAAATATTTCTTTTTCGTTAACTTTATTATTCCTCTTTCTTATTTCTTATTATTCTCTTTCATTTCTCTTTTTTACTTCTTTAATTATTCTTCTTTTTAATTAATTTTTTTTTCATTGATTTTTATTATTAATTTTTGTTACTTTTTGTTACTTATTTTCAGTTTTAAAATGATATAATTATAGAAAAGCGAATTAAGAGACTAAGAAAATAATAACATTATCTGATTTATAAGACTATATTCGACTTTAATCTAAGATAGATTTTTTGACTACAAGATATCATCATCTGATCCTGATCTAGTTAATACAGTTTACCCCCCCCAACAACAAATCTTGTTAATATATCATTCGTGTCTAAAAAACAGAGAGAGTCGGAATCAACTCACCACTGGGGGCTGGTCGTCGTACTCTAAATCTGGTGTTGATTCAAATAGTAAGGTGGGTAGATGGTTGAGACAACAGCCGAATCCAAGGAGATGCTTCGATATATGTAGCGAGTTTGTTTTGAAGAAGTGGTAGGCGTCCTCCACTTCAGTTGCTATCATATAAAAGATAAAATCCACTCCAAAGCATCAAGCCGCTAGGATCATCAAATAAGGAAAAGGTATGATCTCATTTTGTAGCTCCTACACACCGGATGTACGACCTCTATGAGAAGTATCGGCTCACCTTTACCCATATCGCGAAACTTTATCAACTCTCTTGTGCAAATTCACTGCCTGGCCAACAATTCAAAGGCCGCGATCTAGCCATCAGTATATATACCTAGGTACGCACTCAAAAGTCTCAGAAAAAAAAAGTATCACCCTCGCTACCATATAATACACGAGGAAATTCCCAGCTACTTTGCCAACTCCAAAGTCCTGTTTTCATCTTGACTTTTCTCTTGTTCTCATAATGTTCAAGTCTGGCTCAAAGACCAGAGCAGCCGATAATAGCAAAAAAATCAAAACTTTCCGCAAACTAGGTAATAAGTCAGTATATCCACTTCTCCATATCGAGAAATCCATACTGACAGTCACAGGGAAGCTTACCAACTAGCTCTTCATACACTAGATTGCAATCGCAACAAATCTATCATCTGTCGCTATACAACTCCTCAAATCTACCTATCCCATCCCAAGCGTCTCATACGTATTGTCGAGACCGCTATTATCGAAGTACTTCTCCTGCATCCAATTTTACAAGCTAGGATAATCGACGCCGACTCTAAAAATCCCGCGTGGGAACAACTACATCATGCGCATTTAAATGAACATCTCACATGGCGCTTTTTACAAACACCCGAGGATTTCGATGATGTTTCTAGAAAACTCACTCTTTCGGAAATCGATAGCAAGTTTCATGAAATTGAAGATGAGCCAAGGTGGAGGATCGTTGTTTTGTATCAGGAAAGATTTAATTTACTGGAAGTACTCTTTACATGGAATCAGGTATATGGCGATGGAATCAGCGGGAGGATTTTCCAAGAAGATTTATTTCGACGTCTTAAAATGGCAGCTCAGCAAGATGACATTGGAGATATCGCCATAGAAACTTCTCTCATTCCACTTCCTACAGTTCCAAACCTTTCTCCTTCCATCGAAGAACTCCATAAATTTTCTCCTGGTATATCTTTCCTCGCCAAAAGTCTCTGGCAAACATTTATTCTCGCAGCTACATCACGAAAAAAACTAACTCTAGCTCACTGGGCACCCATCCATCTCATCCCATACTCCACCCAATACCGCTCATTCTCCATCTCCAGAACCACAATTTCCGATCTTCACCTCGCATTTCACAAGAAGAAAAGTACACTTATCAGTCTTCTGCACGCACTCATGAATATCTCACTAGCGTCACAGTTAGACGAGAACACAGCATCTGCATTTCAAAGCTGTACGACGCTGGATATGCGACGATTTATAACGTGTACTTCCTCGAGATCCAAGCATTCAGGATTAAATATAGAGAGAATAATGGGAAATTACGAGACTTCAGTTTCACATGGTTTTGTTGAGAGACTTGTAGCCCAGCTACGCGATAAACTCCCCGGGGATGGTAATCAGGATTTACTTCTTTCCCCCGGACAGCTGAGACAGATTTGGAAAATTAGTGCAGGTATCTGTGCAGAAATTGAAAAGGAGATAGCGAGGGGTTTGAAGAATGGTTCTGCGGAAGCGATGAGGATTATCGGAAACTGGCGACAACGAACAAAAAACACGGCTCAAAAGCCCAGGCATTTCTCATGGTCAATCACAGATGCTGGAACCTTCGACGGGAAATCGAAAATCGATAACGAGAGTCAGATATCGTCTGCGAAAGCTGATCTGGAAGGAAGAGATGCATGGATACTTCATGAAGTGGACTTTGCATCGAGTGCGGAGACTACGGGTGCGGCTTTCATGATCTCGCTTATGAGTATCAAGGGAGCAGGATTATCTGTGGTATCAGTTGGCAGGATTGTGTTTGTGATGTTGCAATGGGAGAGCGAGTTGCAGATGATTTGAAGAAGTGGCTTGAACAGATCGCAGAAGAAGTGTATCCCTGATTGTTATTTCTTGATTATATATGAAGGAATAGCAACTGATTAGTATTTTTTTAACATCGCAGCAATTCTTTTTATCAATCATTTTCATGTCTGGTTTCAAGCTTCACATTGTCACTGATAATATTCTCATATACATTGCATGATAATTTTGGTAATGACTAGCTATATTTACTCCCCCATTATATCCCACCAAAAGTACTAGCGGGGAGATTTGCTATCTCGAATCTCGACGAGGGACTAGGTGTTCCCTGAAGGATCTACCACTCCGTGTGCAGACGATGATTAAGAGATCATATGAAACTTCATCTGCATTTAGTGATTGCGGCCGCCTCACTTTTTCGGAAAATAGTGGAACTCTGTTGAAGGATCATATGGCTTTACGACTCGATTGTGGCACTTAGCTTCACAGAACCTGAACATAATGACAGGATGAAAACGAGGCATCTCATCGAGTATAGATTGAACCCACGGGTGCGCCCTGTTAAAGTCGTGGCTGGGCATGTATATATTTTCCGGATCGAGGCCTGTAACTGGTCGTCCTGGATGGTCAAAGTCTGGCCCAGTCCAAACATCTCGAGGTGAATCAGTACTGTTCAAAGTTCCGTGGCGATGCTTTTCGGTCCATTTGTACCAGAGCCATACACGTTCATACTACTCTTGCCATTTGCAGACACGAGCCTCGAAGTCATCGGGGGTGAGAATCATTTCTCGAGGGAGAAATCCAGAACAGGGCTGGCGGTTAAAAAGATGAGATTTCTGAACAGTGGAACTCGTTGTGTCAGTGGGCGAGCTGTCTTATATAGTCAAACACTTGGTATGAATGGCTGCGCAGTGAAATCATCTACATTAAAAGCTTTACAGCTAAATCATGGGTTTATCAAGTTGGATTTGCAGGTACTGCCTAGTATCTACCGCCTTGAGGAATGATTTGGAATAGGTATGCTGTATAAAGTCAACAAACTGGAATTCTACTTAACCGTATTAAGCATAGTAAGTCGGGTACCCTACTTTCGGGCCACCCCCCTTTTGGGCCACTTTTTACACCAAAAATGGAATTTTTAACTTTCTTATTTATAAATAGAATTTATTGAAAATTTATATATATATAATTTAGATCATTTTTAGCTTACCTTGAAAATTTCAGATTTTTAGGAATTTTCTGTATTAAGATCTAAAGCTTTAAAATATCGATTTTTAAATTTATATAGGAATCATATACAAATTTGAAACTTTTATAAAATCTTTAATAACTTTTTAATAAAAATTATTAAAAATAAACTATAAAATTTTATTATAAATTTATAACATATTTATTTTGAAGGATTTAGAAAATAAAGGAAAATTTCCTATAAATAGATATTTAAAAGAATACCCCTAAAATTATAGGGATTATTTATACTATTCTAAACTCATTGTATACTATATCTCTATATCTATTATTATTATTATTTTTTTTTTTTTTAATTTCTATATAGATTTAAATTCAAAACTTTCAAAAAGATATATAGTTTTCTTTTAATAATCGTTATTAAAAAGTTAATATTGAGATTACTTGAGGGGGGGGAGTCGTCAACTCGAATCATCATATATAGTACTATATAGTCTATATAAAATAAATAATATAAATTAAAATGATCTAGAATAAGATATGATTCTTCCTAATATATATATATAGTGGTGTTACGGGAGCTGCCTCTAGGGTCATGTGGAAGTGTCTAGAGATCTCTCGAGGTGGTTTAGATTAGACTTTAAGTAGGAATTCAATAAGGTTGTAATTGATTACAATTCTTATAATTATAGTAATAAAACTAATAATTGTTCTTAAGTATAAAGCTCTATATATAAAGAAACCCTATTCCTTATATAGACCTTCGTTTTCTACAGAACCATAAGGCTTTGTTCTGCTTGAATCCTTTGGATCTTATGAATTTAGACATTTATTCTTCGATCCCCTAGATCCTCTAGGTCCATCACGTGACCGTTTGGCCATGTGACGCGGTATGTTGAATACCGTCGTAACAAGTGGGAAGAATTATGTGATTTGTTTAAGTATATGATTATATATTTTAATATAAATAGAATTTCTATTTATAATGAAAACCTGGAATATATGATATAAAAAGTAAATTGTATTAATTAAATCCTTTAAAACCTAAAACCAATCTAACTAAAGATCATTCTTTTTCTTATCTCTTTTATTTTATAATCAAGTTAAAGAAGATAAGGAAAAAATGAATCGAATTGAAAATTGTATATAAATGAGGAAGAGCCTTATTCATTAGGATGGAATGATTAAAGAGGGGGGGGAATGTTGAATCAATTCGATTAAATGAAGTATTCATATTTAGTCGAATTTGAAAGAATTGAGAGTGAAAGGGGGGGTTTAATCATTATATAAGAATGAATAGAAGTAAACTATTCTTTTATTCCTTTATAAAACTTGAAATATGAGAGATTGAATCTTCTTGATGAGGGAATAGCAGCTTGAAGCTTATAAGACTTCAATTTAATATATTGTTACGGGAGCTGCCTCTAGGGTTATGTGGAAGTGGCTAGAGATCTCTCAAAGTAGTTTAAACTAAACTTTAAGTAGGAATTCAATAAGGTTAATAACTAATTATAATTCTCATAACTATAATAATAAAACTAATAATTATTCTTAAGTACAAAGCTCTATATTATAATAAAACCCATTCCCTTATATAAACCTTCTTACTCAGTATAATCAGTACAGCTCAGTACTAATTTGTTTGTACTTTCATAGCTCAGTGTCTATCCCGCTGAGGCAAACTGAGCCAACCACGTGACTTAGTGCCCAGTCCCGTGCCTATGTTGCGTTGTTCGTAACATATATCTCCTAAGAATATAAATGAAGATCAAATTTATATAGAATTTTTTAAAGTTATTTTATCAAATAGCTATTTGTATTATAATAGGTTTTTTAATTTTATAACCTTTTTCTTTTATTCTTTCGATTTAAATAGATTAAATCTACTGGAAATAATAGATAAATCTTTTTCTTTGATTTAACAATTATAAAAAAAAAAGTGTTTTGTACTATGAGGTGGAGGAGGAGGGCTTAATAAAAGGTTCCTAATAGGAGGGGGGCGGTGGAGTGGTTCTTTTCGTATGAAGGGGGGATTTTGAATTCGAAAAGCATACTAAGCTTTGAGCAGGATGTTACGGGAGCTGCCTCTAGGGTCACGTGGAAGTGTCTAGAGATCTCTCGAGGTGGTTTAGACTAGACTTCAAGTAGGAATTCAATAAGGTTGTAACTGGTTGCAATTCTCGTAACTATAGTATGAAACTAATGATTGTTCTTGAGCACGAAGCTCTACATTGTAATGAAACCCATTCCCTTATATAGATCTTCGTCCTACTTGGACAGCTGGGACAGCCGGGCGCTCCTGGAGCGCTGTCGTTCCTGAGCTGTCCATCACGGGACACTAATCCCGTGACTCTTGGTGTCCTAGCTTATTCTTTTGTCCTGGGGCTAATCCCCTGGGACATTACTAATCCTAGTGAAGCCTTCTTGCTTACTGTGTTCTGTCTTTCCTAGGACCTATTGTCCTGGGAACTATGTCCTATGTTTCTAGGGTATCCTATGACTAATACTATATACATGCCTGAGGCTCTCCTGGGTGCCTAGCGTCCCCCGGTATACTGCAGCTGAATCACCGAGGCTTATAGTACCATTATAGCCTATACGTTGGTGATTCTACAGCCTGTTACTAATCCGTTGTAACACAGGATATAGTGGATGTGAATTAAACTATTGATTTATTGAATTCCATAAATGTAGTAGTCTAGTTTATGAATTAATCAATTCGTTCAATCCTAAAGAAATTAATTGTTACGGGAGCTGCCTCTAGGGTCACGTGGAAGTGTCTAGAGATCTCTCGAGGTGGTTTAGACTAGACTTCAAGTAGGAATTCAATAAGGTTGTAACTGGTTGCAATTCTCGTAACTATAGTAATGAAACTAATGATTGTTCTTGAGCACGAAGCTCTACATTGTAATGAAATCTGTTCTCTTATATAGACCTTCCTGCTCTGCAGAACCTACAGTTCTGTCTTGTCTGGATCCTCTGGATCCTATGGATCTAGATGTTTATTCTTCGATCCCTTAGATCCTCTAGGTCCATCACGTGACTTCCTGACCATGTGACGCGGTATATTGGATGCCGTCGTAACATATTAATAGGTTAAAAAAGCGATTTTTGATGTAAAAGGGTGGCTTAAAACAAGGGTGGCCCGAAAGTAGAGTGGTCGACTTATATTATATATTTGTTTTATTTAATACTTATAGTCTATAATATTTATACTTTTGAAGATAATATTATTATAATTACTTTGTTTTTATTCTATAAGTTAGTAATATATAGTCTATTTTCATTCGACATAATAATATAGGTTCTCTTTTCTCTCTTTTACAATACAATAATTTTATTATTATTATTAATATTATCGTTATTATAATAATATAACCCTATAATTATTTACCTTTGTTTTATAGTAATTATATTTCTTTATTTGCTTTTTATCTTTTTTACTCTTTTCCTTTTTATTTACTTTATTTAATCTTTTATTTATTATTTGTTTTGCTCTTTATAATAAGATATAAATCTCTTTATATTCTTTTAAATATTCTATTATACTTTATCCTATATCTATCTTATTATTATTTTTTTTTATCAACTCGAACCTCAATTTATTGCTTTCGAAATAGTGTCTTTTCAAAATGCTTCTCAAGAAGAGGGTAGGTGCTTAGAGGCTCCCTCCTCGCTCTTGTCCTGTCGTGCGCCCGCTTTGTAGCTGTTGTGTCAAATGCCTGTATCAACTCACTTATAATCCCGCCATAAGAAGGGGATATATAAATCCAAAAATTGGGATACTTCTCGGTGAGCCTTTCCTCCTTACACAGCAAGGATGCACTTTATCTTTTTGAATCGTGTCATAC